GCGAGGCCCCCGCCGCGCAGGCCCCCGCCGCAAACCCGCTGCTCACGCACCGCCGCGGCGCTCCGGCCCGCGGAGAGCCTCGTGCTCCGCCCGTTCGCGGCGTCCTCCAACTTGACCCGGTCCCTCTTGTGAAGACAAACAGCACTTCTAGCCTGAAATACTCGGACATGGGGCACGCAGAAAGTGTCCTGTGTAGCTCAGAGTCCTATAGTCCCCAAACCCCAAAACCACCTATGGGGCTTACCCATCTCTCCACTTAGGAGGGGGAATGTGGATGGAATGAAAGTGATTCCACAGACTTCGGATGCTCAGGAGAACTCAACGGAGAGGGTGAGCCCAGCTTCTCTGCTCACCTCAGCACACACTGTCTACACCCTTCTCCGTTCTGCCCAACCCAGGCCTTCTCTGATCCCCTGCCCCCCAGTCCTGGCAGGAGAGTGGCCCACTTGTCCACCCCTGGGGCACCGCTGAGACTGTCCCTCTCTGGCACAGTGCTGGGCCCATAAGCACAGCACAAAGTGTTCATTTCACTGAAAACCGGTTAAATGTATCTTCAGATCAGCTTAAAGGTGAAGGAAAAGGGGGCCAGAATGTCAAGGATGAGCCACCAGGGACAAGACAGCCCAACATGGGCACAGGTGGTATCTATGACCACCTGAACTCATAAACATCAGGTATGGCCAGCTGCAGATACAGGCAGTGCTTGTCACCCGGCCCTCCGAGCAAGACAACCTTATAAGAGAACACACCTGCACAGGGCCTTCCCACACCACCCTAGGCACAGGTGACTGGAGCCAACCACACGCAGCATCAGCATCGCTCCAGGAACGAAGGTAGTAGCAATTCTCAGATGCAACAAAACACCATATACTCAGTGATTTTAATGTTCTCTGTTTGAGCTTCTCTGTATTTATTCAATTTTCTGCTGTGAATATATGCACACATGTATGTATGTATGTGTGTGTATATATATTCATTCCTTTGATAATCAGAAAAAAAATAAACACAAAAAATCCACACCGAGCTCATGCACAAAGACATGTCTTCCTAGGGTCCAGCACCCTCTCAGAGCTCCCCACTCTGCACCACTCCTCGGCTGCCCCTGCCCCTCCCGTCCCCACGGCACCCAGGCTGAGACTGCCTCTTTGGGTCTTCATTCCTAGTGTTGCTGTCTAATGGAGAATAGGAGAAAATAACTTTTCTGGGGTTGTTTTTCTTTTGACCTTTTCATCCCCAGCAAAGGCAAGCAGGTTGCATCCCTTTTTCCGTCTTTCACCCCTCCCTCCCACCCCCTTTTGTTTGGTGTGGAGAGGGACACTCAGCTATTTCTAGTAATAAGAGTTATTTTTACACATTTGTAAATCTTCACTTAGTGAAACCGTTCTCTCGGCCTTTGCCTTTGTGTTCTTAATGGTAGCCATAAATTACTGCCTTCTTTTCTCTCTGCTGCATCAGGCTTCATTGCTTTTGAAATGATCAAAGTTATTTTCTTTTAAAATCCAACTGGAAACTGCCCATTGTGTGGCACAGACCTCGTTAGCTCCAGTCAAAGCATATAAATACATAAAGCTGCCCATTAAACTCCACAGGAGCCTCCTCCAGCCCCTTGTGCCTGGTAAGAAATAAGATGCATTGTTCTTCCCCTCAACTGTTTCCCCAAGTTTATATTTCAGTAAGAATACAAATTAATTATGAGACCCAATGCTTTTTTGTCTAAGAGCATAAGTTTTCCCCGTGTTTCCCGGAAAAGTTTACCACTGGCACAGATCTCCAAAAATGTTCTGAATCCTATTTTGTTTGCCCTAACTTCCATACAACCGTGCTTTCAGCTGATCGGCTCCCAGATTCCTTGGCAACCTTTCTGACACTTCAGATTAAAGTCAATCTGGTTTACAACCAGGAATTTCCATAGGGGAAAGGCTTCAGGGGAAATTTGTGCTCAAATGTCAATGGGCCCTGAGCTAGCTGCCGTCTGCCCTCTATTGTCCCACTGAGGTCCCCACACTGTCCCTGGACTAAGGCTGAAACTCCCTCTCCCCTCCCTCAGGCTGAGAGGCCATGAACCAGACCGGAGGGTAGAGACAGCCCAGCCAGCCCCAGCCACTAGTGTGGGCTGCTGGCACTAAGAAGACTGTGGAAGCAGAAGCTGCGGGTGCTCCTGAACTGCATATGGCTAAGGTAAACTCTGCATTCACTGGACACCTTTCAGTGCCCATCTTTTTTGACTCTTCAGCAGCCTTTGGAAATTCCTTTTAGAAACTCTCCCTCGCTTGGGTTTTCATGGCAACAGGCAAGCTCCTGATTTTCCAGCCTCTCAGGAAATACCTTCTCGGTCATCTTCTTGGGATCCTCCTCTTTCAACATCCTCTCCCTGATGGTTTGCTCATTCCCTTGTTTCCATAATAGAAATCTCCCTTTAGCGTCAGTTCTGTGTATTGTCTCCAATTGTCTACTGGATACCTCCACCTTGATCTCCTACAGGTCCCTCAGATTCAAGATGTTCAAAACGGAGTTCATCTTCTTCCTCAAACCTGCTCCTTCTCAAGTACTTCCTCTCTTAGAGAGAAGGGCACCACCATTCTGCCAACACCAGGTCAGACCTGGCAGTCATCCTAGACTCCATTTTCTCTCTTCCCACCACAGCCAAACCCTCATGTCAACTCGACCTTCTTACCATCTCTCAAAACCATCCTCTTCCTCCATGCAAGCTTCCAAAGCTCAGGCCTCATCATCCCTCACCTGGTCTGTTGCTCCTAGTCGGTGGTTCCTTATCAATTTCCCGGTCTAGAATCTCACCCACCTTCAGTGCATCTTCCACAGTGGCTGCCAGAGTAAAATGTAAATTTCATCACAACGATCGCAGTCCTCCTCAGGCTAAAGTCCAAACTCCCTTGATATAACCACTCAAGCAAAACATGACTACCCACTTTTAGATATATACCCAAGAGAAATGAGTGCATATGTTCACCAAAAGACACATAACAAGAATGTTCATAATGGCTTTATCACACTAGCACGAAACTAGAAATAACCCAAATATCCATCAACTAGAGGATACATAACAAATTGTGGGATATTCATTCAATAGAATACTATAAATGAATAAATAAAATGAACAAACTCTAATACGCTCAACAACACAGAGGCATCTCATGATTATTATATTGAGTGAAACAAGGCAGATACAAAAGGTTACATATTGTGTACTTCCACTTCTATGAAGGTTAAGAACAGACAGAGCTAATTAATAGTGATAGAGGCCCAGAACAGTAGTTCCCTCTGGGGATAGGTATTGACAGGGAAGAAGCATGAAGGAACCTTCTGGAATGCTGGAAATGTTTTAGCTCTTGATCTGGGTGGGGATTATATGGATGTATACGTATATAAAAATTCATTGAGAAGTTGGCTTACACTTAAAACACTTTATGCACTTTATTGTATCTTTTTACCTCAAAAAATAAGTTAAAACAAGAACTGCTTAGCCAAAGACGTTTGTGATCTGACTCCCTTCTACATTTCCAGCTTCTCTCCTACTACACCCTTACCCACAAGCTACACTCAGCAACATCGAACTACTTGTACCAGGAATTTGTCACTTACCCCCAGATACATCTTTTCTTTTGCTCACGCTCTTC